GATTTTGCATATCATAGATGTGCTAGTATATGTTCACAGACTAACAAGTTCTTTCTTTACCTGGCACTAAGGAGTAAGTTAACCAACTGGCTCTTCAAACTAATCACTATCCTTGACAGGTTATTTTTAAAAATCTCTCAATCTCTCTCTCTTCCTCCCCCTCCCTCTCCTCCCTCTCCTCCCTCCCTCCCTCCCTCCCTCCCTCTCTCTCTCTCTCTCTCTCTCTCTCTCTCTCTCTCTCTCTCTCTCTCTCTCTCTCTCTCTCTCTCTCGGTATTGGAGATTGAAACACTTTACCACTGAGCCACATTCCCACCCTTTTAAGTTTTTGTTTTGAGACAGGGTCTCAGTAAGATTCTTAGGGCCTTGCTAAATTGCCAAGGCTGGCCTCAAACTTTTGCTCCTTCTGCCTCAGTCTCCTGATTCACTGTGATTTAAAATATATATATATTCAGGAAATATAATTCCATGACACAAAATTAAATACACAACACTATATTTTGCTTTTCCCCAGATAATGTATTAAAGATAATTTTACATATAAGTACATCAAGTGCTTTATTTTTTTCCATTGGATAAACTTTCCATTATATATTTTAGCAGACCCCCTATTGAGGGATTTATGATTGTTTCCCATTTTTATTATTGCAAAAATGCAGTAAATAACCTTGTATACACATTTTATACCAATGCAAATATAACTGAAGGAGAGATCCCTAGAAATGAAATGGGATCTAAGTCCATATATTTAAAATTTTTATAGTTATTGCACCATTTTCCTCAACTGACTAATTGCACTCCCACCAGCAATTTATGAGAATATTCTCCCTGGTTTGTTGACATAGCTCTTATCAATATTTTTATATTTGCCAAAGGTGTCTCACTGTATTTTTCATTAGTATTTCTCCAATTATGATATTAGCTATTCTTTATCAGTATAGAAGCCATTAATTAATTTTGATAATCAGCTCTCCAGGTATAGAACAAAACGACTTCAGATCACTCTATTTTCAGAATTTCCTAACCTACTACCTTAATAGGTTCCATGAGTTAGAGAACTTTGTTCATTTTCTTTTATTCTGCACCATTTTCTAGAACCATCCCCAGTATTCACTGAATACCTCAGATATTTCACTTTAAAACTTGTACCTGGACTGGGAGTATCCTTCAGTGATAGAGTGCATACTTGGCATGTGTGAGACTCTGGGTTCAATCCTCAGCAAACAAACAAATGAATAACAACAACAACAACAAAACTAGTATTCCCTACAGTGGCTGGCACAGTAGTAAAGGCTCTACAAAAGGTAGAAAGATTAGACAAAAATAAAACCAGACACATTCACTCACTACTCTACATGGTCATGTAATCATCACGTAACTATTTCAGTCTCTTTTGCGATGTCAATTTCAAAAGGAAAGATAAAACTGTCATGCCCTATACATGACAGTTTGACGGTTTAAGTGTCACCACGATCTATATGATCTATTGTTCCAGGGGAATTATCTTGCTAAACTAACTTTAAAGTGCTACCTTTTATTATACAGAGAAATACACTTTTGTTTTCTCTTTTTTAATATATAATTAACTTTTAAGATCACATCGTGTTTACTTTGTGCTTTCTTTGTCTTGTGCATGCGAGGCAAGCACTCTACCAACTGAGCTATAGCCCCAGCCCTATTTTGTGCTTTCTTGGACCTAAAATGGCTCTTGATCATCAGTCTGTTGAGTATCTTGCAGGGGGTGGGGAGTAGAGAACATCTTTTTCAATATTCTCTACAGGACTTATTTATTTATTTTGATCTTTCTTCACTCTTTTGGCCAAGGTGAGGTTTTCCAGAGTGTGCTCTGGGCCATGGGGAAGAAAACAGATTTAACACTCAGAATCCGTACTTCTTGGTTAAACCGTTAACTTTGGTTCATTAGCACCACACCCTGACTTCTTTGTCTGGTAAGGGATATTGGCAGTGACACCACATAAATAACTCCTTTTAAAAAAGTGGTGATCCAAAGGCTGAAGGGGCCTTGATCATAATTATCTAGCTTTAATTTGTTTAAAACTTAATCTATTATAACTGTTCAACATCTACTAATACATTTAATCCTATTATCCCATTTTACAGATAAGAAACCAGAAGCAGAGTGAAATTAGGTAAGTCAAATGAGGGATCACAGCTAATAAGTGTTGGGTTCTGGTTGTCTTTGAGCCCGAGCAGTCTGGCTCCAGACACCACTGTCATAACTGCTTTGTTGTGCAATTTGTAAAAGATAAAACGTTCTCTCTCTTCTTTTAAACGTACATTTTCTAAAGCAAGAACCCCCCACCTCCACCTCCGTGGAGCCCTCCGTGCTGTCAGCGGTCAGTGGCGACACCAAGTGGCAATCTTTGTATACTGCAGCCCTTTCATAATTTCTATAAACCACCTTGCTCCAAGCTTGCGTTCTCTTCTCTCTCTCTCTCTCATAAAATTATACCACAAATACCCTAAGTCAAGCCAATATATTCGGTCTGCAGAGGCATCTTGGAGCACTAATCTTTCAGAGACAAGTTTGCTCCCAACTGGATTGCTATTCTTCAACCAATTTTTTCCTTTATCTGAGGAAGAGGTGTTTTATTCTAGTGTTAGCTTGTATTCTGGACTTTCTTTTTTACCTCTCCAACTATAATTGCACTATTTATGCCTGTCTTTTCCTGCCTCTTCTATTTCACCAGGGCCTGTATCTACAAATAAACTCTTGTTTTTTTTTTTCTACCCTGCAATGATGGGGGTGGATAGTGGGATTGAGGGGGGGGAAGCATACAAACAAACCTCTCCTTAAACAATCACCCCAGATTCACCTTCTTAAAGAAGAGTTTCAGTAAAGGAATTGCCTTGCTGAAAAACCCCAGTTCTTGAGCTAGGGGTGTAGCTCAGGAATAGAGTGAATGAGTGGCATGCACAAGGCCCTGGGTTCAATCTCCAAAATCAGAAATTTACACCCAACAAGACACCAATAAATAAAAGTGCTCAATTTTCTTCTCAGTCACTTTCTGAATTAAGCACAAATTCAGTCCAATTTCAGGATCCTTTGAAATCAGGTCCCAGTTTGCATTCTAGTAATAGCTCAGACAATTCTCTACAGTTCCCTACACAGCAGCTGTAAAGTGAAAATATTTTTAAAATGCACTTTGTTTTCTAAAGTTTCTCTAAAGTCTAAGTTTCTTTGGAAACTTTGCTGCTTGAAATAATATCCATAACAATAAATCATCCCACATTTGTCTGTAGGATACCAGTTTTTTGGATAAAGAGAAGTAGCCTTGATTTTCAACCCAGGTGCAGAGCTGCAGATAAGGGATATCTGGACATGACATTCCACGTCTATCTTTACTTTGTAGTTCCCAAGGATACAGGAATCTGAGTTCACTTCACAATTCAGACCTGGTGGTGACACCATGTGACACAGTCCTTTGCTTTAAGTTTACCAAACAAATGCTTTTTAAATTTTTTTTCAATGTCTTTTTATTTAGTGCTAGGTAGAAAGACAAAGTGACTTTCTTTCAGGGGCATGAAGGGATGTGTTGGCCAAAATACATAAATTCTAACACACTATGACTAATTCACTCGAACACATTTTCTTTTTCTTTCTTTTTTTAAAGGCAGAGAAAGAGAGAGAATTTTTTTAATGTTTATTTTTAGTTTTCGGTGGACACAACATCTTTATTTTAATTTTATGTGGTGCTGAGGATCGAACCCAGTGCCCTGCACATGGCAGGTGAGAGTGTTACCACTTGAGCTACATGCCCAGTCCACTCAAACACATTTTCAAAGAAAAGTTTTCTTTTAAATTCACCTATTATCTATCTTTCCTCCAGTTCCTATAATGACCCTATGTTTTATTTTTGCTTGTTTGTTGAGATGACCATGTTCCCCCCCCCCCCTTGGTGTGTGATATCCTCATTGCAATAGGTTAGATGTTTGGCTGTGTTGTCTTACAGATTTGTCTTTGGACTTTATGCTGATTGGGCTAAGATATAGGATTTGTATACTTAGGTTGTCCAAAGTAGGCATTCAAAATTGTTCACTGCAGTAGATGCTCAATTAGAGTACTTGGGTTCTAGTTATATTATTTGGATTGATGATATTGGTTTCAATCTCAGTTCTTGCAGTACCTTTATTAGTGGGTTCATTTTAACTAAGTAAATGCACTCCATTTGGCCAAAGTTTTATTTTCTTTAAAACAGGAGAGGGGCTATTTCTTCAAACCCTAGGGCAAGAGCTTTGGAGTCAAATCTTTGTTGCAATGTGCCGCTTATTATTTCTATAAGTTTTATTTTTCTGAGCCTTTGTTTGTAATGAGTAAAATGCAGAAAATACCAATAACTGCAACATAGATTTTCCAGTGTTACTATGAGGATCAACTTGGTTGCTATAAGTATCACATTGTTGAACATTATTCTTATTCCTACTATTATGTGAGGCTGGAAATTTTTCTTAACCTTCTGAGCTTTTGCATTCTTATGAATAAAAAATGGAGAAATAATGGTATATACTTCATGGGGTTATCATGAGTGAGATGAAAAAAAGAGTAAAGGGCTTTGGACAGTGCCTGGCATATACGAGGCTCAAAATATATGATCTGATGTTATTAGTATTAGCTTTCTACTAGTAACCACTCTGTGGGCCAGAAGTTCGTGATAAACAGTTTCATGCTAAGGACAGAACCAAAATCAAGGGACTGACAGGCTTAAAACGGTGAAACAGAATGGGCATTGGTTTCAAAAGCAACTAAAACGCCCAGCACTGGGTTTGGACCCGCCCAGTCCTCATTAAATATGGCAGCTAGCCGGGCCGTCCTACTGCGGTTGCGCATGTTGAAACTCCTCCCAGCAGCTCCTCCTAGGCTGCTGTGCCCCCTCCCTGCCCGGGCCGAGGTGCCGGGCTAGGGCCCTCCGTGGCGCGCACGCGCAGACGCCCGCTGGGCTGAGCTGATACTCTGGAGGCGCCTGTCACATGAGCCGCGCGCCCGCTCCGCTCCCCCTCCTCCCTGACTGGGCTGTGTGAATGAAGCTCTGCCGGCTACGTGGGGCGCTAGCTCAACTTAGTGTACTGGACGCCGGAGCCGCCTGAGCGCGCTGCCCACCGGCAGCGGACACAGACTCCGCAGCTCCTAACCTCGGCGACAGGTAAAGGCAAATGGGCTGTCCCTTCCCCAACAGGTCTTTAGTGGGCCCCTCGTCCCTGGCCCACCCCCGGAGCACCCTCTGATCGTAGCGACACAGGGGAAGCGCTCCTCTGCTGGCTCAGTCCCCCGGAGACGGGGTTCCCCTTGTCCAGACGCCGCCCCCTGGCACTCCGAGGAGGTAGACAGGCTAGTTCTAGCTAGTGCGGGGCGGCATCTTCCCGAGAGCCCAACCCAGTTCTCCGAGAAGGGTCCCTGGGCTGCCCAAGCGAAGTTTCCTTACGGAGCGGCGCCAGGAGTGCCCTGCTTTCGCCTGTGGTCCCCTTTCTAGGACTGGGCTAGGGTGGCGTTTTCTGGGAAAGCTCAGTCGAGGCCCCTGTTCTCCCTTGGCTCTGGACTTGCTTCAGATTTGTGTGGGTCTTTGCGAAGTCGAGTTCAGACTCTCCGAAAAGTAGTCGCTGCGCGTTTTCCTTTTGCCACTTGAACGCGTGTGGCTGGTTCTCGCTTGACTTTTTGAGCCTGGCGCTTGAGCGCCTTTGCCAGTAAGGGGTAAGAGAAAGCTTTTACCTTTACACTGATGCGCGTTTACCTTTATGACCATTTCAGAGCAAATCAGTTGCCCGGAGTTCCGAGTGAAGTTGTACGTGTGCCCATGCGATAACGTCAGTGGAAACTGCCCCCCCCCCATAAATGAGGGAAATACAGAAGTTGGAGCACTAAAAGCCAGTAAGAATCCGCTTTACATACACTTCAGACAGCTTTCTGGATTTAACTACAAATGCTAAATTTCTCCTTGTCCCAAGACGCGCACAATACTTCTTAACAATGAAATAAGAGAAGGAAAAAATGAAAAAATGAAAAGAAAAGGTAAACCAAAACAAACTGTTCCATGTTCCACATAAGTCTTTGGAGCGCCTTTTCCTGATGAATTCATCCTGGGACTTTCTAAAGTTCCTCCGTTTCCTAGGACGTGGCGAAACTTTCCTTATCCAAGGCACTGTCTTTTCTCTTTTGGTGTTTTGAGGATGGGTGTACACATTAACCTTTTTGTCCTTTAAAGAAAAAAGGTCATTAAAGACAGCTAACATGATTCTTTTAGTAGTAGCCTTCAGTGTTTATACTTTAGCTTTTTCAATTCAGAAGTGGACGTTTTGGTTGTATAGAAATAGCAATCTACTTTGATGTTCAGTAGGTCAAAAAATAGAGGGCTTTTTTTTTTTTTTAGAAAAAGCAGATTGGCTTGTGTGCTAAGTAAGGAAGACCCAATTATTAAGTAAGAACTTAAATGGACAAGTAGAGTGTTTAATATACTAAACCACCAAATCAAATTATGTACAGTAGTCAGACCTCTCATTTTTTGTCACATTCCTAGTTCTTTTCATATTCTTGCAAACAGTATTACCTAAGACTAGATTTGAAGTTGTAATAGTAGGAATTAGCTAAATTAATTAGATTGTAATTAAACTAGCGCTCTATTTTTGCATTTTCCTTTTTCCTTGATTAATTTCACCCTGATATGAGCAATATGCATTCGCTATAGGAAATTTGCAGAGTGGGGAAAGTAAAATGGAGAGGAAGAACCACCACCCAAAGGGTATCATCATTTTTTACTTTTATTATACTTCCTTTCTTCTTTTTTTTTCTTCCTATGTAAGACCTATCTTAAAACTTTAGCATATACAAAATTTGCTCTTCTTTCTACTGATCACTTACTGTAAAGTTGGGTATTTGGGGAGTTGAGGAGGGGGTTGGGTAGTAATGCTGCCTTTCATTCTACATGCAAGACTTTGCAATTGGAAAGATACAACAGTTATCTCATCCAACCACTCATCCTTTGAGTTCTGAACCCCGAGTACTAAAGCTCCAGTGATTCATGTAGAATTCAAAACTGAATGACAATATGAACTGACTCTAGATCTCTGATTTTCTTCAGCAATACCCTGATGCCCAAGGAATATGTGACACTACTGTGTCTGGTCTGCCTGTCCTTAAAAGAGAGATTCAGAGAGGGGCAGGAGATAATTTTCAATCATTTAATTTTTTTTTTCTTTTTAAGTGTTTATTTTTTCTGTTTGCATTTTCAGATTTGGGGCTTTAGCATATTGCAGAAACGAGGACCACATAGCTGTTTATCTATCTCAGTGCCATTCAAGTTTCCCTGCGAAACTGGGGGGCTCAGGGAAACTGAGCCTGTGACCCCAGTGTGAGAGAAGATACGATCAAGATGGCCATGTGGCAGGGTAAGAAATTAGCACTTATTCCTCTAACTGGTTGTTCTTTCTCCTCTATCTTCCACCCCCACTCAACTCTCCAAGTCAGTGGCAGGCAGCCAGCTATTTCTTTAATTTAACCCTTTGTCTTTGCAAGGACAAAGCACATTAATTTAAAAGAAGCTGCTGCTAGCTCGAAGTTCAAATTATTTTCAAGTGGTAGTTGGGGGAAATTAGAAAAATGTCATGCCAGAAGCATTTGAAATAATTCTCTTCATTTAAACATGTGCTCATGGGGGTTATATGTGAGGAAATGAGAAAGATGTTTTCCTATTTGCGTGTCTCATTTGTTACCAGCAGATTTGTATCACAAGATTCTGAAAGATGGGGGACACAGATATTGGTACCTCTCTGGCTTCCCCTTTGCAATAAAGACCTTCTTGGGATTTAGGCAGTTTGAAAAAGCATCTTTAATGTTGTAATGTTTATACTTGCTGATAGAAGAAAAATGACTATTTTAACAATGTAAGCTACCAAGAACCAAGTTCAACAGTGTCTTAGCTGATAGATCACATCTCTTGTGAACTTGTGAATTTGTCTGACACATGAAGTTATCTTATTTTTGATGGGGTTGAGGATTGTGTCCTTGGGGATTGTATTGGAATCTTCAGGGGTACATGGCATTCTTATGTTTATCACAAGGGAGTTTGTGTTTAAGAAACAATAGATAAATAACACCAAAATTGGTTGTGATCCACAAAAGGTTAAGGACCACTTAGATGGAGTAGAGTGAAGTAGCTTGAATATCTATAAATATTCAACAGATAGGTTTCTAAGTGGATATCTTTTAAAGATATTTCATTGTGCTGGTTATGGTTTAAAATTTGTAGGCATACAAATGTTACAGTTTTGATTTATATGGATTGTCAAAGATATTGTTGAAATGGGATTTGGCCTGAATGCTGGCATTGACTCTCATAATGGGCATTCAGGAGCAGTTTGGGGGGGGCTGGGGTTGTGGCTCAGTGGTAAAGTGCTCGCCTAGCATGCACGAGGCACTGGGTTTGATTCTTAGCACCACATAAATGTTAAAATAAAGATATTGTGCCCACCTAAAACTTAAATATTTTTCAAAAAAGAGCAGTTTGGATAAACTCACTTAAATCCCGAGACATTCCTTCATTCAACAAACAGAATACAGATATGGATAAGATGCAGAACCTTAGAGTGTTCCTTGTGGTTTAGGAAAGACAGACATGATCAAATAATTGTGTAATGTTGAACCAGTGTTATAATAGGGAGAGGAGCAAAATGTGATGGAAGCCCAGAGAAAAGCATGATGAATTTTGAATCTTGAACTACTCTAAAAATGAGTAGGTGTTGGCCAGATGGGCAAATGAGAGAATTGCATTCTGGCAGACAGAGCAGCACTGTTAGGAACTTCAAGTTGCTTTGTTTGCCTAGTATGAGATGTATAGGGGCATGACCTCAGACAAAGCAGGGAAGGTAGTTGGAGGAGGCCAGAAAATAAAGAACCTTGTATGTTCTAGGAAGGATTTTACACTTTATCCTGGAGACAAAGATTCCAAACAGGGAAGTAACATAAGCAGATTTTGTTTTAGAAAGATTACTTTGGCATTGGTGCTGAGGTGGGGTGGGAGCTGGAGATAATGAAAGCCTGGATTCATTCAGGAGGTTTCTGGAATAGTGATTTAGGAGAAAGATGGTGAAAGTCTGAGCAGAAGAATCAGGGGCAGTGAGATTAGAGAGAAGAGGATAATTTCTAGAATGTTCTGTGACTGGATGTGACAAGATTGCCAGCCAGTTTGGGGGCTGGAGGCTAGTGGTGCCATTCTCTGAGGTTGAGAACAGGAGAAGTGGCAGAAGGACCCAGTTATGGTAGAAGCTAGAGTACTGAGCTTAGGTTTGACCTATCTGGGTTGAGGTACCTTTGGGCTGTCAGGTCACTGTTTCATAAATAGTTTTTAAATTATAAAACTGGAGATTGTGCAGGTAGGGCTATAAAATTTTGTTCCTAATGATGCATGAAGAGCTTGTGTTGTCTTTCCCTATGGCTAATGACATGTCTTTAGTTGTTAATGATTTATTTATTTTACAATAAAACATTTTAATGTTTGACAAATCTTAAAAAAAGATCATATTTTCTTAATAAATAATACATCTTGCAAGGCCCTGAAATCTTCTCTTCTTAAAATTACATTGAAGTGAAACCTCATTTTTCAAGTGTTAGTGAAGAGAGGAGCAGTACACATAAGTAAATTCTCTTGATCACTGTAGCCAATCCCTTCTTTTGTACAACCTCTGAATTGAGAAGTGTAGTGACATGATATTGTGGAAGGCAATATGGTCTAATAGTTACCTGTGTGGGTCTGGAGTCAACTCTTTAGGATCTATCACTTGGTAGCTGTGAGGCTATGGGCAAGTCACTTAACCCCTCTGTGTTTCAGTTTCCCCTCTTATGAAATTGGGTAAAAATAGAACTCACCTTATAGTGTTATAAAGATGAATTAAGCTAATACATGCAAAACACTTGGAACATGGTAAGTGCCATATAAATGTATGCATTTATTATAACCATAAAATGCTTGTTTGGTGTATAATGATGTTCAGAATATTGTTTAGTGTATAATAGTGCTCAGTAAAATGTAATGATAGCTATTACTACTACAAATACTGCTATCACTATTATTTTCCTTTACCCTGATTGGGTTTGGGACTCTGTTCTATGGAGATAATTTCAGTTTGTCCTTGGAATCCCTGAGAGTCTCAGAGAATATCTAGCTTAATTTAGAGATTAAGCAACATGCCTAAGGTTAGATAGATAGTAGTTCTTCTTAGTGACAACACTAAAACCCAGCTTTCCTGTTTCCCTATCCCAGTATTCTTTCCATGGAAATGTGTCAAACTTCATCAGCTCAACGACTTCTGAGTCAAGTCTCTGAGGAGCTATTTGAGAAAATGTAAGAGGTAGAGAAACCCAAATCTCCTTGGTTTTTTGGATCATTGCTGTCTAATTCCTCCATGGAGAATTTAATCAGAAACCCTGTACCCCTTAAGCACTGTCAATAGTATTATTTTGATTTCACTTTGATCTTTCCAAGTTGCCAAGACCGGCCTTGAACTCTAATACATGTTCTGTCCACATTAAACAGAGTGTATCAGGCATACTTGAAGGTTTTTGACAACTTATGGTGAGCCTTAATAACATCAGTTGTGCTTTGTCATTTTTTATTGAATCCTGGGCCTTGTATATGGTAGGCAGATGCTTTATCATTGAGATACATTTCCCAGGCCCTTTTAAAAATATTTTCTTCTGAGATAAGGGTCTTGCTAAGTTGTTGAGGCTGGCCTCAAACTTGGGATCTTCCTGCCACAGTCTCCTAAGTAGCTGGGATTATAGGTGTGTGCCACTGTGCCCAGCATAATATCAGTTTTATTGGTCTAATGGTCAAAAAAATATTGAAGGGCTAGGGTTGTGGCTCGGTGGTAGAGTGCTCACCTAGCATGTCATGTGAGGTGCTGGGTTCAATCCTCAGCACCACATAAAAATAAATAAATAAAATAAAAGGTATTGTGTCCAACTACAACTAAAAATATTTTAAAAAAGAGAAAATATTGAAGAGGAGACTACCCACTTTGAGGTTGGAGACTTACGTTGTCAGGTGTTATTTATTTACTCAGTTAACAATTATTGAACTTGAGTTGTGTGCTGGGCCCTAGAGATGCAATGGTCAAGGTAAACAGGCATGGTTTCTGCTCTCCTGGAACTTACTGACTACTAGGATAAAAGTAACATTTCAAATTAATGAAATTATTTATTTAACAAACATGCTGAAGTAATTTGGAAAAAATGGCATCTACTTAAATTTAGAAGGATTAATATTATTTTGGGGGTACTGGTAATTGAACCTAGGGGTGCTTTACCACTCAGCTATATCTCCAGTCCTTTTTATTTTTTTATTCTGAAACAGGATCTTGCCAAGTTGCCAAGACTGGCCTTGAACTTCAGTCCTCCTGCCTCAGTCTCTCAAGTCCCTGGTATTATAGGTGTGCACCACTGCACTCAGCTAAAATAGTTTTTCTTTATAAAGGAGGAGGGCATCAGAATTTCTTATGGTCCTTTAAAAATATTCTTGCTCAGGTCTCATGCCCCTCAAATTATGCTTCATTCTTAGGACCTGAACATTTAAAGAAGCCCTGTGAGCAATTCTGATGCATAAACCTGTTTGGAACTGCTGCATTAAATAAATAAAAGTTTTTAAAAAAGAGAGTAATGATAAAGGAACTAAAAAAATTAGAGGAGACTGTATAATCTTGGTGTAGGGAAGATATTTGTGTGCATAATATCAAAGGCAGAATAATAAAGAAAAAGATTAATATCATCAATTATATGAAAATTAAAAACTTCTGCACAAGCCATAAATAAAGTTAATGAGAAAATTAGGAATAATTGCAACAAGACTCATTATCCTTAATACATAAACACTTAGCAATAAGAAAAATAGGAGGGTTTTACTAGAAAAAAGTACAATGGATGGGGAAAATGTGCAAAGGAATATATATATATAAAAGGAGAAATCCTAATGACCAGTAAACATGAAAAAGGTACTATCTCAGGAGTAGTCAAAGAAAGGGAAATTAGAATGGGAGGCAATTTTCTCTGATATAATTTGCAAAGATTAAAATGGAATGACCGAACTCAGTGTTGGCAAGAACTTGAGTGAGCAGCCGTTTTAAAACACTTCTAATGGAATGTAAATTTGGCAATATTTATCAAAAACTTAAAAAAATGGGTTTACCACAGGATAATGGATGGAACTTGAGATCATTATGTTAATTGAAATAAACCAAACTCAGAAGTGTCAAGGGTCATGTGTTTTCTCATATGTGGAAGCTAGGGAGGAAAAAGGAAAAAAGAGATGTGTGGGGGATCCCATGAAAATAAAGGGGCATCAACAGAGGAAAGGACTAGAAGGTGGGAGGTGGGGAGGGAGTAGAGGAGCAGGAGA